ACCCTGCCTTGAGTGTGACAGGGGGTGGTGCCCCAACCCCCCAATCGGCCCTACCCTGAGCGTGACTGAGGGTGGCATCACAACCTCCCGTCCGCCCCGCTCTGTGCATGACGGGGCGGCGCCCCAACTCCCCAATCGGCCCTGCTCTGAGCCTGACCAGGGGCTGTACTTAGAGATTGGGCCTGCCCTCTGCCACCCGGGAGCAGGCCTAAGCCAGCAGGTCGTTATCTCCCGAGGGGTCCCAGACTTTGAGAGGGCACAGGCCGGGCTGGGGGACCCCTCCCCCCCAGTGCACAAATTTTTGTGCACCAGGCCTCTAGTTTATTTATAATGTACTTTGTCACTTACAGTTCACTTTCACACATACTAACCTATGTGGAGATTTACCCAGAATTATTGTTGTAGATTTTCTTTTATTAAGAACAGAGAAAATGGAAAACAGAGCCAGCAAGTTTTTGGAGTTGCTTTATTAATGGATCAAGAGATCACTGAAAAAGAAAGAAAAGAAGAAGGAGAAAAAAAAGTAAAATTTCCCATAAGACTAACTGTCAAAGATCCCAGTTAGTGGAGCAGACATGGCTCTTGGGTCAGTGGGAGCTGTCCAGTAGTGGTTGACAGTATTCTTGGAGAATGTCAAAGGTAACCCAAGGGTCTAACATAGATTTAGCAAAAGTGGCTTCTAATTTATTTTAATCATCATTAGTGGACTTAACATTTGGTTCAATGGACAGTTCTGTCTAATTAATGCTCCTTCTGTGGTTAAATTGTGCTTGTCACTCACAGTTTAAAGTCTAGCTATTTCTAGCTCCTAATTGGCATGCCACAAATGAACCATAACATTGAACTTGGGGTTCTCTGACCCTGCATTCTCATTTGGCTTGAAATATACCTTCTCTGGAGCCAGAAATGTTCACCATAGACCCTGAATCTGCTTTTTCTCTCCTTCAAGAGGAGAGGCAGTGCAGGGGAGATGGTTCTAATACTGAGGCTCTTGTGGATGGACATGTTCAGACCATTGTCCATAGACAAGAGAGAGAACTACAATCAGTCAATCTCACTTGCCTCCAATATAGAAGCCCTATACAATATCCTGATATATGGCCATCCAGGTATTCTTTTTTATTGTGATAAATTATACATAACATAAAATGTATCATTAATACATAAATTAGCCCATATAAATGTACTTCAGTGACAGTAAGTACATTCACAATGGTGTGCAACCACCACCACTATCCATTTCCAGAATTTTTTTCATTGCCCCAAACAGAAACTCTGAACTCATTAAGTAATTCCCCATTTCCTCCTCCCTTCTGCCAGCCCCGGTAACCATGATTCTACTTATTCTATGAATTTACCTATTGTAGGCTCTTCATATATGTGGAATCATACAATATTTGTCTTTTTGTGTTGGGTTTATTTCACTTAGCACAATATTTTCAAGGTTTAATCCATGTTATAGCATGTATCAGAAATTTGCGACTGAGTAAAATTCCATAGTGTATGTATACCACATTCTGTTGATCTGTTTATCTCTTGATGGACACTTGGGTTGTTTCCACCTTTTGGCTATTGTGAATAATGCTTCCATGAACATTGGTGTATATGTATCTATTCATGTCCCTGCTTTCAATTCTTTGGAGTATATACTTAGGACTGGAAGTGCTGGGTCATACGGTCATTCTATATTTAGCCTTTTGAGAAACCACCGAACTGTTTTCCACAGCAGCTGCACCATTTTACATCACTACCAGCAATCCACAAAGGTTCCAGTCTCTCCACATTCTCACAACACTTGTAATTTTTCACTCTTGTTTTGTTTTTATAATAGCCACCCTAATGGGTGTGAAGTGGTAGCGCATGGACATCTAGTCATTCTTAAGCACTTCCTGAGCTGGAGCTCAACACAGCAGCAGGAAGCTATTGCAGATCACCCTTAGTTGTTAGAAAGTTCTCATTAGCCATTTCTAAATCTCGCCTTCCTCCAGCAGGGATTGTCAACCTTGGTTGCACAACAGAATCCCTTAGGAACTTGAAAAAAGTCCAATACTTAGGCAGCAACCCAGAATGATTAAATCAGCCCTAACATTAATGTTCCTAAGGCTCCTCGGGTCATTTCAATATGTAGCCAAAGCTGAGAACCTACTCAATTCAAAGCCTGCTGCTCACTCATCTCACTTCCTTACACAACCTGCAGGGCATAAAGTGCAACAGACCTATCACTGAGCCTTCTCTGACGACCCCTATTAAAAGCACTGCGCTCTCTGGCTGGCCTGTCCTGCTGTCCCTTCTAGATGTTTTGCTATAGTGTGTATTGCCAGCTGACATTCTACATACATTCTTTTTACCTACCATTGCCAGCTCTCTGTTTTGCTCATTTCTGCTTCCCTAGGGCACACAACAATGCCTAGTGCAGAGAAGGTGCTGAGAAAGAATTGTTGAATGAGTGCATGTACAAATCTCTTATTTCAAATGACAGCCCTTCAGATGTTAAAAATAGCTTTTGTGTCTCCTACTGGGGCTTCTCTAGGGAAAATCTTCTCTGTACCTTCCATCCATTTTCAAAGACATTAAAGAATAAACCTCATCATTACGAATACAATATGCCTTTCTCTCACTCAATAAGCAAATAATTGAGCACTTCCTATGTACTACACACACCTATACACTACACACTGTAGAGTAGACTGTGCCTGGCACTGGAAATTGTGCTGGAACAGAGAAGTGAGGTGAATCTGTGGGGGTGGGGCACAGACAAGCATCAGTACAGAAGTCATTTCAGGTAACAGTAACTGCTATAAAGAAAAGGGAAAACGTTGGCTGTGTCGCATTAAGTGGGGGTTAACTTTAATCTGAGACCTGGAAGACAGGGAAGAAGCATCCCAGGAGGAAGGCACAGCTAGTTCAGAGGCCTGGAGAGGCAACAAGTTTCAGAGGGGCTCTGAGTAGGAGCCTCTGAGAAGGACAAGGAAAAAAACACCACTATCACCTCTTTTGTTAGACACTTGACCTCAGCTAACATGGCCTAAGGCATTGGTTCTCAACCTTCCTAATGCCGCAACCCTTTAATACAGTTCTTCATGTTGTGGTGACCCCCAATTTCATTGTTACAAATTGAACATAATTAGAGCATAGTGATTAATCACAAAAACAATATGTAATTATATATGTGTTTTCCGATGGTCTTAGGCGACCCCTGTGAAAGGGTCGTTCGACCCCCAAAGGGGTCGCGACCCACAGGTTGAGAACCGCTGGCCTAAGGTAAGATTAATTTTGGGTAGCCACATCACCCTGTTAAGGTCGCTTTCCGCATTGAATTAAATCTTCCCTGTCCAGTATTTGTACTGTTGATAGCTGGAATTTAGATGTAGAAGAGTGATTTAGATGAATATACCTAGAATTGCTTTTCATCCGAACCCTAGCCATACAGTCGTCAATTCATCCATCCATCAGTCAGTCAGTCAATCAGTTAAGAAAAACACTTGTCAGTAGAGTGGAGGGATGCTCTGGTTCTTCAGCCGCTGTGACAGTGCTGCCTTACCCTAATCAGCATCTTGCCTTTCGTGCCAGGCCAGTCTTGGACAACATCAGAGCCAGGACTTGGTGGGCTGCTGCCATTTGGGGCCAGCGGCTATCTTGGTTTTCAGTCAGAGGAACTCAGTAAAGACAGATATCTCTTGATTCTGGAGACTCTGTGGTTCCAGAGGGGGGCTCACAGGGCAGGCAGCCCCTTCCAGACCAGCCACTGAAATGCTCTGACAGCTGAGCTCCTCTCTCCAGGCCTCAGTGTCTTGTATTGATATGTGGGGTTTGGGTCTGAGAATTTTAAGGTCCTTTGAAACTTCATTTAAAAACCATTTTTATTGCCCTAACCGGTTTGGTTCAGTGGATGGAGCGTCAGCCTGCGGACTCAAGGGTCCCAGGTTTGATTCTGGTCAAGGGCATGTGCCTTGGCTGTGGGCACATCCCCAGTGGGGTGTGTGCAGGAGGCAGCTGATCGATGTTTCTCTATCATCGATGTTTCTAACTCTCTATCCCTCTCCCTTCCTCTCTGTAAAAAAATCAATTAAAAAAGATACATTAAAAACCATTTTTATTGCTCTAATAGAAATAAAACTTTTTTTCTGAAGCTTCTTAATAATTTGCAAACATTATGCTTTTATTGACAGGAACACTCACTTCCAAGTTAATAAAACAAAATGATTCGTACTAGGACAGCAGAGTTGATAGAATCATATCAGATGCCAAAATTGACAAGAAAACCAATTTGAACTGTTGTGTTGGGCAACAAAAGAAATGTGGTTTAGGGCAGTGAAATGAGTTCTTACATTTAGTGATCAGCTGCTGTCTTTCCAATGGACTCCACAGAATCTGAGACCAATTTTTGCAGGTCAGCTACATAAGAACAATCTTCAAGCCAAGACCTGTGCCCGAGACAGCCTGCCTGTACACAGCAGCTTCTGCATGGGCCGGGCTGGGGTCCTGACAACAGGTGGCCTCTGTATTCATGCAGACCTGGTTCGAGCTACTGTCATTCATCCATCCAACACCATCTTTCCTTCACTCAAGAAATGTGAATAATGCATTGGAGTTGAATTTATCAATGGATAAACCGTATGAGGCACCTGCTTCATGGAGCTTACTAGGTGGGTAGGTGCATAAAACAGGAATCGCCCAAATACATTTCTCAGCATAAAATGAGGAAGTGCTCTGAAGGAAAGCCACGAGCTCTCTGATGGAGAAGAACTGTGCAGTCTCAGGGTAGTTCATTCAAGTCTCAGCCTCCTCCTCCCTGTTTTGTAGGGTTTAACTAAGATATCACATAAAGTGACAAGTGCAGACAATGGCATATAATAGGTGCATAATTATTCTGTGTTGCAGCTGCTTATGGTGAAGTTCCCTTCCTGAAGATGAATGAGGAAACGATTCATCTTCTTGCCTGTGTGTCAGGGTTTCCTTCAATCTTTGTGTGTATGTGTGTCTGTCGGTCTGTCTTCCAGTTCCAAGGAGGGTTTCCGGTCAGTGGAGAAGGCCGTGCTGCTCACGTTTCTCTCCGCGGTTATCCTGATGGCCATCTTGGGGAACCTTCTGGTGATGGTGGCCGTGTGCAGGGACCGGCAGCTCAGGTGAGTAGCATGAGGAAGCCTCATGAGGCAGGAAGCCTGGGTGGTGGTCTGGGCTCTCCCTGGAGAGTCGGGGTCTGCACTTATCATTTCCATTATAATTTGTACTTATGAAAGGGAAAAAATACATGGGGACGATGTTTGGAAATAGAGCAAGGGAAAAGGATCATACATCGCCCCCCAACTCAAACATGACCAGTGTAAACACTTAAGTGCATTTCCATCCTGTCTTTTTTCCTATGTTTAACCTTGTTGGGTTTTTTTAGAAGTTGTGATCACTGTATGTACATATGTTGAGAGCACATCTAATCTACCCTCCCCACTTTATCAGTCGGTTCAGAGAAGGGATGGCCGATAGTGACTCGTCTAGGATTTAAACCCGGGTCTTCTTCTCTTTCCACTTCATCAGTCTGAACCCTGGCTGCCATTAAGATCACCTGAAGACCTTTTGAAAATTGCTACTATGTGGTATAAGTATATCCCAGACAATATGTGGGACATACTTATACTAAACAATTATTCATTGTTAACCTGGAATGCAAATTTAACTGGATATCCTGTGTTTTATCTGGCAACCCTGGGTGTGGATGGGGGTATTAATCACTCCAAATCCCTGAACTAATTGATCTGGGGTGGTACCCGGGCATCAATATTTATGAAAATCCACTGGGTGTTTCTAGCGTGCAGCCAGGATGAAGAGCCACCAGACAACCATAAAAGGGATAAAGGAGGTAGTCCTGTCTTGACTACTGCCTTCCTCTCTAAGCAAAACACGCATTAGTGATGCAACAGATATAAAAGCACACTTCTGGTAGGTCTCACAAATGAGAGGCACATGCCAGTCAGTGCAGAGGAGAAAGTAGTGGAATTCGACACCGTTTGTGAGGGGGGCACCTTGGGAGGTTCCCTGAGAATGACCAATCCGAGGCCTGCCTGACTGGTGGGGGGTAGCTAAGCCCATAGTAGGGAGAGAGCACCCTGTACAAAGGCGCTTGGGAGGAGCTCCCTCCACAGGGACTCTAATCAGGCCATGTGGCCAGAGGGGAGAGGAAGGGAACGCTCTGGGTGCGAGAGAAATCTGGAGAATTCAGAAGTGGCCGATCACACAGGGTTTCCCCAGCTACATCGCAGAACAACTTCACAAGATACATTACACGTTTGACTTTTTTTTCTTTTTCCTCCCTCCTTCCTTTCCTCCTTTCTTTGCTTTCCTTACCTCTGCTCTTCTCTCTCTCACTCCTTTCTCCCTAACCTCCTTCCTTTGACCCCTCCCCCCCGCCTCGTCCTTATACTTTTTCACTCACAGGAAAATAAAAACCAACTATTTCATTGTCTCTCTTGCCTTTGCGGATCTGCTGGTCTCCGTGCTGGTGATGCCCTTCGGTGCCATTGAGCTGGTTCAGGACATCTGGATTTACGGGGAGATGTTTTGCCTCGTCCGGACTTCTCTAGACGTGCTGCTCACCACGGCATCAATTTTTCACCTGTGCTGCATTTCTCTGGACAGGTAAGGACCGAGCGGTGTGCACTGCAGAGCTCTGGGCTGGAGACAACGGCCTGATGACTGTTGGAATGTGTCTTTCTTCCCTGATTCATTAGAAATGAATCTTAGAGAGTAAATCTGGTTATTCACTTACCCATTCACTTCTCAGTCTTTGCAGAGGGCATTCTCTGAGGCCCTGTGGACACAGAGATTAGGAAGGCCTACACCGTCCCTGCAAGGAGCTTACCATCCAGGTAGAGACAGGTACCAGCGCTCAAGGTCACCGGAGAGCTCTAACTTGTGTACAGGTGGCATGAGCGAAGTGCTGAGGGAGCTGAGTGGCAAGAATTAACACATTTGCCCAATGGGCTGCAGGGGTGGTTCAGAAGGGTAGTGCTCTGTGTTTGAACATGACCGTCTCCTGAAAATGTGTCTGTATCATAATTGTAGGTATACGTCTGTGACTGTAAAGACTGTTTTCCAGAAAGTTAAAGATGATAATAAAATCCCCAATAATTGTTTGCTTTTGGGACCCACGGCTAGCATTTCATTCGGTTGCATAATCTTGTTCTTTTTCTTCACATTTGACTTCAGAAGGCCTAATGATCTCCATCTTTGCCTCATTTGTGGAGATGTAGGTATGTTAGTTGTACCAGTACTTTTGATTTTCTGATTCCTGCTCATGGGTGTTTAACAGTTAAGGAAGAATGCAATTTAAAAGTCAGAGGATCACACGAACATGTGCAGCCATCACTGTAGCCATGTCTTAGGGGTTCATTCTCAAAAGAAAGTGGTGTGTAAATCACGTGATCAGAATTACCAGGGACAATCTCTCACTGCCTCTTGAGTAGTCCAGCAGACCAGGGTTTCCTCCAGTCTTGGGGATAGGTTTCTGTTTCTTTCACTGAGAAAAAGGAAAAGTAGTTGACTAAAATTGGAGGTTATGGTTTATCTAAAATATGTGCCTTTCAACACTAAAATCAGAGTGTTCCTAGAGAATTAGTCACAGTGGGAAAAGTCCTTAGGGACTGAACCCAGCGGGTGGGGGGCGGGGGGGGGGCCGATTCAGCAGATTCATATCCTATCCGTGGGACAGCTGCTCCTTGATTGGAATGGGAGGTATAATGGCCTACGTTATATACATTGTCTCTCTCCCTCTCTCTGCCAAGAACTTATAGTTGAATGTGCTTAAGTTAAATGTATGTATAATGAGATTCCACTCTATAACTAGGCATGATGACATTGATAAAGCTGAATTGTTGGTTGAAAGCCAGACCCATGCTGTGCCATAGTTGACATTTATCTGAATTAGCTTTTTTATAACAGTCTGACTTCAGTACATGAAAGACTTTTTAAGACAATCAGTATATACCGGATGAAAGTTCACATTAGAATAATAAAATGTAAGGAACTAGACAATATATGGAAATCCTCCAGGGTATCCTGCATGTAATCATTACTCAAATGAGCAGTGAGACCGGAAGTGTTATAGGAACTTGGCGAAGGCAAAGCTGAGGGATCAAGGCAACCTTATTTCTCTTATCTTGGCCTTTCTCTCTTTCCAGCGCTCCATGCTTAGCCATCGCAGGACCTTGGCTCCTCCCTCTGCCTGGAAAGTTCCTTTGCCCCCTCCTCTCCTGCATGCCTTTCAGATTTTAGCTCAGTCCTCTCTTGATTGCAGAAGGCCTCTCTGACCCCACAAAACACATTCTCCTTTGAGAACTTAAGGCAATTATGATTAAAACCACAATTATAATAAAAAAAATTTTTTTTCTTAAATATCTCTGTCTCCATCAGTGAGAGAAAACACATGCATATGAATAATGATAAGGCCCCTGCCCTCAGGGAACTTACCTTTTACTGGGGGAAGTTGACAGTTAAGCAATAATCACATCAATACTGATTAAGGTGTTTCATAAACACTATTGAACAACCGGAGTGTGCAGCACATTCTCTTTGAGAAGAATGCTGCCAATAGTTACATTTCCTTCTCTGATAGTATACATCAGAAACCCAACTCCGTAAGTAAAATGGAATCAGATGGTTTGGTTTTCCTCTGGGAGCCTGGGCCACGGGCCAGGTGTCTCCCTGTTCCAAGAGTGATATTTTCTTTGGGCTGGAAGGTTGGTTCTGGACATCATAGGGCAACAAGTTATCCTGGAAGAGTATGATTTTGTTTATCATCTGGCTTCTGTTTTTGCTGTGTCCCTCCCATGACAGTTGGGCTTGGCTAGGCTGGGGCAGAGCACAGAGTGAGTGTCTCAGTGAGGTGCGATGTCATCGCTGGTCATGTGACTCCTGGCATGATGCTTGTGCTCTCTAGAGCTGCCGAGAATCTGCAGGGATGACTCAGAAAGGGTAGTGTCTCTCGAGCAAGAACGCTCACTATGAATCCCAATTCCACCCAGATGGCAGACCCCTAGATCAAAGCAAAACATTATGAAATACATTTCCCCAACTCCCATTCTCTATCCACTGTGCTTCCAGGTGCTTTGAGAATTGAATCCTACATTTTTATTTCTTATTTTTATTTATTTTTTTATTGATTTCAGAGAGGAAGGGAGAGGGAGATAGAAGCATCAATGATGAGGGAGAATCATTGATTGGCTGCCTCCTGCATGCCCCACACTGGGGATCAAGCCTGCACCCCTGGCATGTGCCCTGACCAGGAATCAAACTATGACCTCCTGGTTCATAGGTTGACGCTCAACCACAGCCACACCGGCTGGGTGAGAATTGAATCCTATTAATGAAAGCTTATTGCCTCATTAAAAATAATTTACAAAGCATAATTAAAATCCATGCATCCTATAATACAGGTCATGAGAGGTCAGAACTGCACTGAAGCATAAAGTACCATTGATTATTTTAAATCTAAGTTTCTGTGGTGAATGAAAACCAACCAAGTATCTATAACAGAGCACTGGTTTTAAAAGTGGAATACTATAACACCACCATTAAAAATCATGAGGAATAGCTTTGGGTATTGTCTTAGAAAGATATCCCTGGTGAGTTATATGAAGGAAAAAAAGCAAGTTTCAGACTTTATTGTTTATAATAATTCCACTTTTCTAAACTAAATATATAGATGTTTGTATCTGGGTATGCATGAGTGAGTGGGGGGAGTACACCAAACCATCAATGATGGTTATATAGGTGCTACCGTGGGTGGAGCTGGCTAGACTGGATGGTCAGTTGGATTGGTATTAGAAAACTTCACTTTTACTGATTTCAGAAATAATATGTTTTAAGCTTCCGATTTCCCTTTGCTAGAAGTTAACACTTCTGGAATGCAAGAGTATCCACCGGAACCTTTTAGCTGAAAGTACTCCTGGGCCAGCACATTCCTCAACTGGCCGAGAACGTTCTGAGTTCGGTGTTAGGAGTTCCCTTTGAAGTCAGAGCACCACTGGAATGTAGAAACCTTCAGCCAGTGTGTCTCTCTGCTTTCTCACAGAATGCCCTAGATTCTTCCTGTTGGGAGCCTCCACTCTCCCGTTAGCAGATTCTCCCTCCCCCCCGACATTCACAGCCATCTCCACAACCTTGTGTTTGATCTGTTTCAACAATCTCTTTTCTAATCACCATAGTTTTAAAAAAAACACATACTACCTGAACATTATAAACATGTCATCATTTCACAAGTAATACACAAAAATGTCCTCAATTTCCTCCCTACCTTTACAGCTATACTCCCAAGAGGTAACTACTGTTAAGTATCACTCCCTCTAAATTCCAATTATTTCATATCCATTAAGCAGATTTGTTATGTGAATATATTTTTAGCTTACCCAAATGCACTTATGTTTTAAATTAGCCTTTGAAGAGGGCTTTCCCTGTATGTACCCAAATGAAATGCTTGACTATAGAGTTCTTACCAACTTGCTTACCAGATGATAAGTAGGGTCTTTTTTCAGCACCATGGGACATAACATAAATTGATTGGCTCAATTATCTCAAAAGTCTGGCTTCGGACATGGCTCTCTGGAGGATTTGAACAATGCCATGCAGTCTAGCTCTCTCCCTCTGTCTCAGTCTCCCTCTCCTCTTTATTTCTGCCTTTCCTTCTCTTTCTGTTTCCTCTCTGTCTCTACGTCTGTTTCTGTCTTTATATATTCCTTATTTGTTTCTGTCCTGTTTTCCTGTTGGATTCCTTTTCACGCTGAGTTCAGAAAAATTGCCTCCGGCAATGTGAGTCTTAAAGCATCCTTAAGTCTGAGTCCACAGGAGGAGAAACAGAAATGCCATTTCTCATGGAAGAACTTCGGTTGGCTTTGCTTGAGTCACACACTCTTCCCTTAACCAATCATTGTGGTGTGGGGATAACACAGCTGGTTGCTGGGTAGAGATGAGGACCCATGTCTGTGGGCTTTACCACAACATATGGCACTGGAGAATAGCAGTGGGGTTGTTGGACAGGCAAGAACAACAGACATCAACTTCTCTTAGGTTGGCCAAAGGACCTACAAGTATCTTTATGAAGCCTCCACAACAAGACAGGCATGTGTCACCCCCAAGTCTTGTTTATATTGGTTTAAACATCGCTAGGTCGTTCCTCTGGCTTCATATGCCAGACTCTTCAGACTTGACCATTCTGGTCCCCTTTCTCTGGTGTACTTGTCCTACATTTGGCATCAAATGCAATTCCCTTTAAAAAATCTATTTCACTTCATTGAAGATAGCATTCCCTACAGCATTGCGAGATTTTCTCTGATATGTCTAACTGAATTGTCATCCTTCCCCTTGGCAGCCTGGGAACTTGATGTGTTTTAACTGCAAAAATCCTCCTCAGTCACAGATTTTCTTTGAAAATAGGTTTACTTGTAAAACATACAATTCTGACTCAAAGGCTGCATATTTTATACTGTGCTGGAATTAAGTGTCTCTGCATTTCTCATGATTTCCCTGGAGCATGACTCAATTGTGTATAAATGAAAAGTGTCCATCATTATGAACTTGTGTCACGCAATTACATTTGTTTCCCCAACAGGGCTGAAATGCATCTCTGCAAGGAAAGCATATTATAC